GGCTGAGGAAGGGTAAACTTCCCTCCAAGGCATTACAGATAAACAAAACCTAACTTTGGTGGGCTGGAGGTGTGCCTACACTTGAAAAATGATTTTCATCCTTCATTAATGAAGACTTACTAAATGATGCTTTAAAGGTGTTTATTGTTCTTATCCACGCTCTCACTCCAGAATGAGATTAGCCAGGAATCTATGCTAAGAAAATACTAGATGTCTGTACATCAGGTCAAGAAGTGGTCTTTGTCATTAATGATAGCCTTGGGCCTTGGAGACTGATTCGCGATAAGCATGGTAGTGGGAAAACATCTAAAAATATAAGGTTCTTAGATCTCAATCTTGATACAAGACACTTAGATATCTGGAGTAAATAATTAGAGATGAATATTATCAGTTGTTCTACTTCCAAGCCATTGATGAATAGACTCCCTCCCCTCAAAGTGAGTGAGCCCTGACTGAACTTAACAACAAGGGATCCTGGTATTGGTCCAATTGCACAGGCACAGCCTTTTGCTCAAACATTACCTCCTCACTGAAGCCCTCCTGGTCCCAAGATCAAAGTGGAAAGTCTTTTTCCTCTCTCCTTCTGAAAACACCTAATACCTACATCTATTAGGGGACTAATCATCAATGAGTCTTTGGAGCCCGGCCGGCATAGTACTGCTGTAGGATTCTAACTGATCAAGTGTTTGTGAAAGGTAGGCAGGGAAGATGGAAAAGGAGGGGAGGCAGAGAAAGCATGAGAAAACAGGCTGAGTGGATCTGTCATGTAGCTCTACTTACCCCCAAGGTCTGGTTCCTCCTGCAGGTCTTTGTACAAATTGCTTCCTGTGCCTTAAGTATGCTTTTATTTTATTACAGTGGGGGAAGTCTTGTTAACGTTCAAGATAGTTCAAAACTCACTTGTTTCAGAAAGCCTTTCTGTATCCTCTCATCTGCCTGTCAGTTCTTTCTCTTCACTTCCAGTTCTCATTTTGCTTTGTTTTCCTATGACTTTGGGATCCGAGATTTTTATTTTTAAAACAATATATATCAATATAATCTTGCTGCTAACCTGTGAGCAATTTGATGACAAGGATTTTCTTTTGTTTCTTCAATTTCTAGGAGTTCCTGGCATAGATTTCCAGAAGGCTTAATAAATATTTGTTGAATGAATAAATTATTGAGAAGTTCCTAACCTTGGCACATTAACCTTAAGGGCACCTACTTTAAATTTTAAGTTATTTAGGAATCCCATCTTGAGCACATAGATTATCTACTTAATTATTCACACCAAATTTTTAACTCTAAGGCAGCTCTTCTATTATCTAGAGAGTTTCTGGTTTCTGTGTCAACTTTTTCAATCAGTTATCCAGGGAGCACAGAGCAGACTCATTTCAATGACAACCTCAAAAAACAGAGTGACTTAAAGGACAATAAGCAAAAAAAGCAGATCACTCCTTTAAAGTCAAATATAAATGACACTCTAATATGCTTTTTGAAATATAACATTCATGCTATTTATAAATGTTTCTGTACTTCCTTTATTACATGAAATGAATTATGGATAATAAATTATGGACCAAGAGTTGATAGAAGATTATTCAGACTTGGGTAGAAGAGGCTTTTTTAGGTGAACTTTAAGTAGCTAAGAAAGGATGAGAGCCAGTGAAGCTAGAAAAATCAACAGGAGTGAGGTCATAAAGGCAGGCAGAACCGTAAGCCACATTACAAAGTCTGGAATGTATCCTACCGGAAATGAAGAGTCCTACAAGACTTTTCTAGAAGGAAGATGTCATCAATTAGCACCTGTGTGTGTCACTGTGGCACCTTACTTTTATACAACATACAGGTGACACGTAAGACCAAACTGAGGGATAGCAGTGACAAGAAAGTCATGAAGAAAGAATACAACACAGTGATCAATTTCATGTGAACACTAAGGAAGTACCTTCTTTTGAATATTTTGATAATGTAATGTGCATAATCAGATTTTCTTCTATTTTTAATAGCTTTTTAAATAATAGTTATAAATGTGATAGTAAGAAAAGTATGGCTATTATTACTAAGTAGCTACCTTTTAAACTCAGAAGAGAAACTTAAAAATTTTCAAATAATAAATAATTCAAAAAATTGATAATCATATGATCCTAAGCTGGTTTTCTTCTTTCTCATTTATAAGGAGCAAAGAATTTGCAATGAATCCAATAGCACTGATTCCTAATCAGGAATGTGTTTATCATTAATCAAAGATTTTATTTTGCTCATTTATTGCTTAAATCTTCAGTAAGCCTTTGATTGAGGCTGGTGTTAAAACCATGATGCTAACAGGCACACGGCCGTTTAACCAACAACGCAAGAGAAGACAGAAAAGGGACGGAAGAAAAAAATGATCAAAGCATAAAGCTACACATTCTACATTAACCAAAGTTTTAATACAGACTAAAAGATGCATACAATGACGACTGAATCTCCATTCATAGGCAGCCAACAAGATATAAATGAATTTATTAACTTCAAACAAAACTTTAGGTTGTACACTTACAAAATTACAAACCATTTAAAAATAAAAATTAACAATGAAAGCAACAATGACTATAAAACATGATGGGATGATGAAAGAAAGAATTCAAGTATTGTTTGTAAAGTTCCTCAGACATCAGTCTTGAAAAGCGTGTGCATTTCCCATCTTTGCATAGTAAAAAACAAACAAAAAAAGCCCCACACACATCACTTGATAAAACTCCACAGCTCTATGTGACGTATGTTTCATAACATGCACCTATGTGTACTGCTCATTGGTCTAGCAGGAGTAGCTCTAGTTCAGTGGGCTCATGCACTATCCCAGGTGAGTGATGAAATCAGCGCATGTCTCCTCATCCAGGTGTCATTCATTATCACAGCAAAAGTACAGCAGGTGAAATGGGAACCTGGTCATCACTTAACACTCTTGTTGGGTAACATTAAACAGTAACATGCTTGTGCTTTGAGCTCAAATAAAAAGGAGTATCTACACCACAAAAATTGGCAAATGAATGTCATATGCAAGAGAAAATACAGCGAAGAGTTTGAAACTACATAACCTAACACCACCAAAAATAACTGTAATCCATTGTTTACAATATGGTTGCATTACCTTTCATATTCACACACAAAGCTTAAAGCTTGTGTATTTTACATATACACACAAATAATTTAACATTGGAGCATAGGTTTGGTTACCTATGAAACTGCCAGCATAATGAAAAGTTACACTGACATTTTTCATATGTACATAATATTTGGGGACCACTGTGGTCTGATTTAAAACATAACATCGCACATTTACAATGTTGTTCATGAAATGCTCAAAAGCTAATAATTAAGATTTATTTTGTAACCACCATGGTTTTATGTCTATTAAGTCAACACGGTGCCTCTGGAATTGAAATGAAATGTGGGTGGTGCAGTTAGCAGCAGCTTCGTATCTCCCAGTGAAGAAGATCCCACCAAGCAGTGCAAGGCAGGGAGAGATACCAAGTCTTCTGAGTTTCCTCCAACCTTCCTCTGAGCTGAAAGAGCCATCACTTCTCAGTAAAGGGATACAACCTGTGTCTTATGAAGCCAAGAGTAAGGCTGATAAACCTTATATATAGCCCTGTTATTATGATATAAACAGAGAGCAAGTTCTAGAGAAAGACTGCATACCTGTGTAGCACCTATTACTCAGAAAGCAATAATAGGATTAAGATGTTACGGTCTATGGTTCCTTACAGAAATTAAAGTTTCTGCTCTATGATCATGACAATCCTATAGTTAAAAATTCCTTGGAAGGGGGGAATACCACTGGTTTAATCAGTATGTTTCAGAACATTATCCTTTCCAAAGTCAAAGAAAAAGGTGTAAAAGTGAAGTCATGAATCTGGCTTTTTTCAGCCACCAATTTATACCACGAGTAGCACAACTGCATGTCTCGCTCCTAAAAAGAGGACACTGGTGAAGTGGGTAGGGGTGGGGAGGTGGAGCTCTCTGGGGCCTTCAATTAAACTCATCTCTGGACGGATGCTTACTGAAGTGACTTTGTAGAAGTCTGTACATTCAAAACAAAGCTAGGACCAAATTTCTTTATTAACTTGTTCACTTGACACTTGAATGGAAGCTATCTTGACCATAAATCGAAGAAATTAGTGAAAGTTAAGGAAACTCAGTGGGACTTGGGAACCTCAAGATTGCATCTGCAAATCTGCCTGGAGGGAATAGAATGTGTATCTGTCCATAGTAGAATCCCGTTACAATCCAGCACAACATTCCAGGGTCCACATAGTCCTGTGGGTCAATCAAGGTTTCCTGGAAACACCGCATACCAAAGTACAGCCTGTTTTCACAACGCGGAGAAGCAGGTTAATTGCTGCTTCTGTCCCATTACCACTTTAACAATGGGGTTCTACCATATAGATTTTGAAGCAGTAAAATGAAGCATGAATGAAATATTGACAATAGATATGAATAAAATGGAAAGCTTAATTTTTTCCAAGCTTTCAACATTTAAAATTTTTTTTTTTATTTAAGGCTTTAAGTTTATCCTCCTTTCACATTAAAGACAGGGAAAGAAAATTGTCACAACCAAAAATTAAAATCATGAGCTTGGCACTTCTGTGATTAATTTGAGAGGGTGTCTACTTTCTTACAGTATATACAGGTTTATGACATTAAAAATTTTAGAGACTTGTGAGTACATCTATTTTCATTTACATAATTTTTTGTTTTTGATATGGGTTACTTTGTTGTTTGTGTCCCCCATTTGTTTATTTTTCGTTTCAAACATACTAACATTAAGTTGCACCTGTTTTGTGCCCAAACTCCCTGCATCTGTGGCCACATTTGTCTTTTTAAACAACAATCATTAGACGTGTTACGAGAGAGGACAGAGACAAAAAAGGAAAGAAAGAACAAGAGGAAAGAAACAAAAAAGATGGGGAGCAAGCAACAAACAAATTTACAGAGAATCTTTACAAGAAAAAGATTTCAATTCAGACAAGTGAAAATGATGTGTCGAAATCTCTTATTTCCATATTTACATTTATAAAAGAACTGTACAATAGCATCATTGTTCAAATTCCAGCTCCCATTTCAAAGATGGTTGGTCCAGGGAAAAAAATAATAATAATGGGGGAAATGAATCAACAAGAGCACAGTCCCACTGAGTTCTGCCATGGGCTGGGCCAAAATGGGGAGTGGGGGTCACAGGGTATGGGGAAGGGGCTGGGGGCAGGGGTGCAGGAGAGGTTCACCAGGCCCAGGCAGTTTCTGTATGTTCATCTGTCATCTTCTCCTACTGAATCCCACTGTAGGTTTTGCGAAGGATTGGCTTGCTAGCTTGTTGGTGTATATATGCCATGCAGTTTTTACCCTTTTGAAAATTGGATCTTCATGCCACTGGAGTTTGTCATTGTTAATAAAAGAAAAAAAATCATGCCAGATCATTTTGAAGACACAAGTGCCAGCAGGCTGAGGGGAAAAATCATTTGCTATTTTAATGGGTCTTTTATTGCACTTAATTTTTTTTGTTCCTTTCTCCCTTAGTTAGGAGGAAAAAAAAAAAGATTCTGAACAGTTCTTTTCATAACACGATCTTTTAAACTCCCCCCGCCCCCCGTACTGACAGATCGTAGGAGGGGTTCTTTGAAATTATTTCCAAAAGGGACAGTTTTCTTTTACCCCCATCCTTGTCACCCCAACTTTGGCTCTGTAGTCATGACCACTCAAAGTTCTGGTTTCAAGACTTAATAGTTCTGGAAACATTGCTGGAAGTAGATCATACCCAGAACCCAACAGTGCAAGGTGGTGAGCGTCCAGTGCAGTTGATTCAGATGGGGCCTTGCTGAGTAGGATCAAATCTCCTCTTCTTGACATTTCTTCCAGAGCGCGTCAAAAGAAGATGCAAGCAGAGGGGAGAGAAATCCACAATATTAATCAGATGATGATGAGAGAAAGGTGATGATAATGACAATAATGCTAGTTTCAGAGCAAAGTAATCAACTCACACAGAGGCAGTCTCCAAAATAACTGGAAACACAAAGACGTTAATGCTTTCAAATGTCTTTACCCCTCCCCACTAGACTGCGCAGTTTTGTGAAGATCAAAAGACATTTCACATTGCTCATTTTCAATCACAATGAAACTCTGCAACCTATTTGGTCTTATTTCAGAAGAAAACGACATCGCGTTAATTCACTAGATGAAAATGATTACAGGGAGCACCCTTACATGTAAGGGGCTTCACGGGAGGAGCTGAGAAGAATTCTGAAGGTCTTATCGTTACTTCCCTCCAATCCCCAGAGCTCTGCGCCAGTGGACTGGCCTTTGCCAATGTGGCAAAAAAAATGCTTTGCTCTACTAAATTCTCTTCTGCCGTGGGTGTGTGAGCTCTTACTCCTCTATGGAACAAGCATTTTTCAAACTAGAAAGTTGAAAAACAGAGTGCACAGTTAGATGGTACACTCAAAGGAGCATGGACACAGGTTTGGGTTAGTTAAGCAATGCAGCAATTTAGCACAGTTGAAAATAAGCAAGTTAAAATGCCTTTCTCACAGTGTCCAGTCTCCTAAAAAGTGGTTCCTATGTTTGAAAAGAGAAAAGAAAGAACCAGCAAGACACTACAACACCAAAAGTTGTCTGTAACCTCCCCATGGTCTGGCTTCATGTGGGGCATCAAGCAAGGGGCTCATGCATTGGTCTGCATACTGGCGAGTGCAATGCTCTGCCACTGAAGTATCATGCAATGCTGGAGACTGAGGTGTCCCCAGATCCCTCCTTCCCTTGCCCCTCACTCAGGGCCTAATAACCAAAACCTTCACAATAGAGTCCTCCTCCCCAATCAGTAATTTAAAATAAACACACCACCAAAGCTCAAATATGCAGAAAGGCATCCTGCGTTCTTATTGTTCCCAAAATGACCACTTTGATGCTTCTCTTTTGAACTAGCAAACAAACACTTTAAAATAAACTTCTGTTCCCTTAAAAGTTTTCATTGAAACACCTTCAGGAATGGCCTATGTATGTGGTATGAGATGGGTTGACCTACTGGGTAATCCACTGCAGCAAACACTATTTGAAACAGAGCTACTTGTTTTGCTTCACAATAGCCACCAAGTCTTCTTTTGAGTCAGTATTCTTAAAAGCAAGCAATGGTGATACTTGCTGCCCAGAAAACAAGGGGGGCAAATGGGAAGCCTCCCGCAATGTATCTCCCAGTGAGTCAGTTAGCTGTGAGGCACAGATCTGTGTCTGCTGCCCAAACCCATCCTCCCTGAAGTAGATTTTGAGGGCCACGTTTCCCCTTTGTGAGTCAGATGGGACAGACACCAACTACCTGGGCTTGAGAAATGACCTGTAGGGACCAGGGGTCCCTACTTAGTTAGCTATACATTGCTAGAATTCAGGAGAAATGTTAAGCATCTCTTCAATTTATCTGAATGCAGAAGAAAGAGCAAACCAAGCTTGCAATGTGCATGTAGGTGATTATACTGCCTGATCTAAATTTTGTAATCCAAATGCAAGAAAGGTCAGATAAACTGCCATGTCCAAGGTGATTTTTCAATGAAGATATGAAACTCCACTTAAGCCTAACATGACACCCAGGCAACCTCTGGTATGCAAAAGTGTATGAACCTTTTAAAAGGCTTTTGAAGCTTAGACTGCATTTTTTAATAGAGTGATGTTCTATTGGTGACTAGGTTCCTCGGTCAGGCCAAGGAGGCAAACCACCCTGTAGAAACATGTGTCTTCATTGCAAAATATGTATCCGTGGGAGGGGGATGCAGGTCCTTTGCTCTTCCACTGTTGCTCCAGATGGGGAAAGGCATGCTGCAGTCCAGGGGAGAGGAAACAAGTGACAAGGATGGAAAAGGGACACCCTGCAGGAAGATGACTGCCAAGCCTCCCACTTAAAAATGTAGAACCCACTATGGGCTACTGTCTGTCGAGAAGGGCCTGTCCTGATTTTGGGGGGTTTTTTCTTCAATTTTAATGTGAAAGCACAACTATTGTGGGTAGGCCCCTGCTGTCTCCTATTGCTTCTTCTGAAAACTCTTTGCTCAGTAGAATTCTAAAGGCAATTAACTTTCTTATGACCTGTGAGGTATTTCTGGGTCATTATAAAATACTAGCGTGCTCTATAAAACTCACAGTGACACAGTTTTCATCATTTTTTGCTACTTCCAAAGTATCTGGACTTCTGTCTCTAACATATATATTATATACACATGAGCATCTATACAAAATTAAAACTCTAGGTAATAATAGCCATCCCAGAGCTATAAAGCTTCCAGCTCTCCTATACTTATCTACTGCTATCACATTCTCATTTTTCCTATGCTGAATCCCCCTGCCCACTCCCAAGGACCCCTCACCAAATCCCTCCCAGGCCACCTTAGACTGAGTTCATACCCAGGGTGGCTGGATCAAGGAAATGCATTGTATCTTCCTGGCTAACCTAGCACCAACACCACCTGCTAAAGTTGGAATGAAAAAGTGCCTCAACCGGGAGCACAAGGCATTAGGGAATCTGGTTCTGCACTGGAATATGGTCATGGAACTTAGAAAAACAGCAGTCTACTTATCCTCTTTATGGAGAAACCAAATAAAATTTGTTCCATTTTCTAATTGTATAAAAATAAAACATCCTCTCCTCCCCTACAAAGGCATTTGATTTAAATATATATGTATATGTATATATAATTAGCAAAATTAAATTACTTTCTTAGGTACAGCCCTTTAAATTTCATTTTTAAAAATTTTTTTTCTTTTTTTTAAAATTTCATTTTATAGGAGCACACAGACCATCTTTTCCTTAGCATGTCTAACAAAATGGAACATAGGTCAAAAAATAATCTCTTAGAGCCAAAGTCAGGCTAAGTGTGAACTTGTAGCCCTAGTGACTTCTCAGAGAGAGAAAGGAAACCACATATTACTCACATTACTCACAAACTTGCAATAATTACTCATGTAGTAAATGAAGATGTTGACTCTCAGGAGCTGCTCTGGGAGGCCAGCACAGCCACTGTTGGAAGTGATGGAAACCCACTTTGTAACTGGACCCCACAGAGAGCAGCAGTGCGACAGTGGGAGATATGATGGGGCTCCACAGAGCAAGATGTTATAATATGGTGGCAAAGCTCAATATGCAGCCTGGAATCTGTGTGACCTGAACTGCCAACAAACTGACACTGTTAACGTTTTATGTTCTTTTCCTAGCATCAGTAAGAGTTTCTCTTTTTCTATTACCATAAACTATGTTGTTGATAAATATTGTGTGCATAGAAATAGCCACAGTGCTCATCTCTAAATGCCTGTATGTAAATTTGGGAATGTCAGATCAATAGCCTTGCCCAAAGTAATAATATAATCCTGTTCATTTTTAAATACATATATGAAATTCTCATTTCATTTTTCCTAAGCTTTGAGGAAGACACTACTAAAATGATCTATCATCTGCTTGATTTGTTTTAATATCCAGCAAAAACAACGAGCCTAATAGTTTAATTGAGAGCATTATCATTTCACGTTAGGTAGGCATCCAGTGCTTCCATGAGTCAACCAGGACAAGAGGTTAAGAATCTTCTGTGTCACAGACTCATAAATGTATGCTCCGTGTAGGTGATGAAGAGGAAAAGGAGCTTAGGGTGAATAGAAATAAAGGCAGATACAGGGGAAAGGTGGATAAATTGTGTGCCTCGTGCCTATCTTCATTTTCTAGGGATTTCTTGGAGTAAATGTGAAGACCCTAAACATCTGGGAATCTGTATACTAAATCATCCTGTAGTATCCTCACACTCCTGGATTATGGAGTGTGGGTTGCATCAAGGTTACTAAGCTATACCCACCACTTGACTCAACATGTCAGAATATGTAAAAGTATAATCACTCACCAAATAAAGAATTATTTCTTTTTAAAAATTCTACAACCTTCCTGTAGAAGTCTTGTTTGCATTAACCAAAGTTTTTAAGATTCTGCTATTTTTGTTGAAAAGAGGTAACCAAATTTTTAATTTCAAATCACAATAATTGATAAATCATCATCACTTTACACACAAGGGCACGCATTCATACATGCACCCACACTCATATAGTCATGCTTTCTGTCATGTATTTTTGTTCTAAAAAATATCATTTAAGAAAAGAGTTATAAAGAAAGACAGGTAATGTCAGGGATCACAGAATAGCTGTATTTCTATTTATACTTGTGTATTTGAGCAGATCACAGGTGGTAAGCTACTTCTCCCACATCTCAGAGTACTATACCTAAGGAATGTCACATTAAGAAAGAATAATATCTTCTCTGGGCAATTAATAAATTTTGCTTTAATCTAAAAACTTACATGTACTCATATTCTTCAGGTGATTTTGCTCATTTCTCCTCTAGTAATAAAAACACAATTTCAAGATGGATTCCCAATAGCAGTATTTAGAGCAATCTTTGTTACAAACTATATTCACTTCAGATCCTAAAGGAACCTGTTTTTTATTTACATTGAGCTTAAAGAAATACTTAAAGGCTTTCAGTTCAACTAACAAAAAATTGTACTTCCTAATTATCTGTAAATTAATAGTCTCCAAAATTGCCCAAGAGGTGGGCAAACCTAAACACTATCATTCAGCAACAAAAGTCTTTTATTGCAAGGTAAAAGTAATTATTTAAGGCTTAGTACAAACCACACAGCTACCATTAAAGTGTAAAGCAAATCAGGTAGCAATTAATACTCAGCATGAAGTGCAGAGGATTCTCCAGATTCAATACTAAAGCAGAGAATTATTCTTAGTCTTCATTTTTCTTGCTAGGTGGCGTGAAAATATTTACTTCACATTTCCGTATGCCATTCCAATTTCCCTTAAGGTGATCATTAGAGTCAGAGGGCAGGGGCACTGACCTACCTACATAACAATCCCCAAGAGGCAGGCAGCAGAAGCTGGCCCTGACCTTGAGATGTGACTGAGTGCCAGTCCCCTGCCTTTTCTCCTGCTCTTCTGATGATTAGACTCCTCTCTTGGATAAAAATCATCTGTACAGGGCCTAATCCACTTATATACACAGTGATAAAGGCTTCTCCATTTGTCCCCAAAGAAACATGCAATTCAAGCTGTGAGCTAGGCCAGGCCACCGTTTTGAGGTCCTGCTACCGAATCGTGTGCTTTTATCTCCAAATGCCAAAATGGTCAATTTGACCTTGCACATGGCTGTCTGGCAAGGATGCAGAGTGGTTCTGAGACTGAAGTTTCTTACTGCCAAGAAGGCACACACCTGGGCGCACTTAGAAAAAGGGCAAAGGCACTTTATAAAATCACAGAGAATGTTATTACTATAATGACATTAGTTATGGGACACTAAGAAAAGGCTTTGCTGGAATAAGGCCAGCCCGAACAAAACTACAATTTCGATGAGATGCCACACAGGTGACTATCTGGGTGATTTGTCTTGTTGAAGTCATAAGAAATCCAAATATCACTTGCCCATTGTGTGTGTGTTTGCGAACACACTGATGTCAAAACTACTGTTTCACTAAACAAGTTCAAATTTATAAATATCTCTGCAGAAAAGAAGTATCATTTGATAATACCCTTCCAAGTTGAAGTCACTCAAAAAAAGTACGCCTACTCATTAAATCTTCATATGATAACAAGTTAGCAGAAAATGTTGAATTTACTTAAATCACCTGGGGGGGATTTTTTTTTTATAACTTAGATGGAGTGTTGGGGAAGGAGATAGAAAGAGAACTAAGATGTGTTATGTACATGTGCAACTGCCCACAATGAATGTAATCAGTATGTACTGCAAATATGTATAAAATATATATTATATAAATATATATTTTTTTAAATAACATTTTAGCTAGTTTAAATATATTGAATTCAGGATTCCAAAATAAAATAAAGTTCATAATTTAAGACAATTATTCGATTAGTTTAGGACAAAAGCTTCCTCAATTGTGTAACTGGATGGAGGTAAAGTGGGTTTTGAATGTGGCTACTGGTCCTATTTTCCACTTGTTTCAATAGATCTAGTTGAAACTTAATTTATCACAGAATATTTGGCACAAGAGGGCTTACTGACAAATCATCATAATCAACTCAAAAAAGGTGCAAACAAGTGATTATCCAATGAATCTGAGGTACCTCCAAACTAGATAAATCGGTTTTTAAATTTCTAATGATAAATAAGGTTTATTTTCAATTATTTAGCATAGTCTATTAAAGTAATCTCAGATGAGTGATTAATGTGCAACCCAATCTAAAAGGTCACTATGAAAATACATGATGCCTGTCAGTCATGTCAACATCAGCAGTTAATTAGAAAATATTAAGTGTCACAGAGCCAATGATTTCAAATTCGAATTTTAAACCAATTCAGTTAGCTAGGAAATTAATGAAAATATTTTTTATAAATAAAAAAATTTTCAAATCACAAAGTTACATATTACACATGAAAAATAATGACCATCTGTTTACTGAGGTTGTGAAAATTTCAATGGAATATAAACCAGTTTTATATAGATATAAACACTTTTGTTTCCAATCTATATTTCCTTGTCTGAATATAAATGAAAGGCTCTCAGAAGGCGTGTTCCAGTAATGAGCTAAATAATTTCTGCTTTGTTTTCGAACAGCTGCCTATGAATTTCTTCTATTTTTCATGTTTTTCCACTTGCCTGATATTTCAGACTTCCAGTTTCTTCTTTTCTAACCTACCTCTGAGTAAAAGTGTTTATTTGCAGTTTTACTGTTAAAATCTTGTAGCAGGAACTCAAAACTTGGTTATGTAAGCAGAAAAGAGAAGCGCCAGAACCACTGAGAAGACATGCGGCATTGCTTACTTAAATCCCCAGCCTGTGCCCCCAAGGACAATAGCTGCTACCAGGATGGCACCAGCGATGGAGCCTATTATGAGATTGGTGGCACTAGGACCTGTGACAAAGGACCACGGGAAGAAAGTCATATGAGCCAACCACTTTGGATACCACAGGCAAAGGCAATTTCAGGAAGTAAATACCCTGTTGTACAAGATCGCTTAACATTTAAATCACCTTTATTTACTTAGCTTAATCACACTTCAGATGCCAGTCAGTGATTGCTTGGATCTATATCCCTTTAAATCTAAAATTTCTGCACCGTTGACAATCAAGTTCCATTAAATTCATCTTTCACAGAATTTGAAGCAAATAGGCCCCGTTGCCATTCTGTGTGCCTTTTGTCTCTTCCTTCCCCTCCCCCAATATCATAAATCAAACAAGCAAATGCACATAAAGAACACAATTGCATTAGAATTGGCTCAATTTGACTGACAAATAGGACATGAAAAGAGGGAAAATTATTCTTCTAAAGTGCTCTTCCAAGCAACACAAAGTTGTCTGGATGCTTATCATTATTATTATTATTATTCTACATTTGGGGACGGTTAAACTTCAGAAGTCAGAAAGGAAGACCAATAAAGACCTGACCAGAAAGCTTTGCTCTCAAATACTTCTCAGTTCTTAGTGTTAAACACCAAAATGAAATTCCAAAGGCAAGACGTAAAAGAAGCATACAATTAACTTGTGTAATTGTGAGGGGAAAAGAATGCCTTAGATTCAATGAGAATACCTTTTAAATTCTCATTTACTACTACAAGAAATTTGAAGCTTGGTGATACAAAAAAAAGTGGGGGGAGTTAGTAGAAAAACAGCACGAAAGACAACACAGATAGTTTCTGTCAGTTGCCAAATAATTGATAACAAATTCCAGGAACTCCACTCCTCTCCCTGGCTCAAAATTTTAAAATCTAAGAACTGTTAAATTTATTACAAGAATTATATTAAATCTTACATCCTCCAGGACATTAATATGCAGGTACAATGTCGCCTCACCACAAAATACTTTCAGTCCTAACTATATATAAGGTGTGTTCCCAAAAGACAGTGTTTACAGTAAAAAGATTCATTGTCGTGAATCCTCCTCAAAATATCCTCCCTAGCTTGCAGACTTATTCCACCATTTTTGCCATTTTCTGAAGCAGTTCTGGAAGTCTTTTTGTAAGGGTCTTCAGTTGCACTGTTATAGCTGCCTTGATGTCTTGAATCAATTCAAAACATTATCTGTCATGGTCATTTTGACTTTGGGGAAAAGCCAGAAGTCACATGGTGTCAGATCTGGTGAACAAGGTGGATGAGGATGCTGTAATGTTTTTGTGAGCCTGCCTTACTGCTGAATGATCCTTGGTTGCAGCATTCACCATGTATTTTAATCACACCTTATAAACACACTCATGAAAGAGGACTTCCTGAACTGCTTCAGAAAGTGGGAAGAACGGTGGGATAAGTGTGTTCAAACAAAGGGAGAATATTTTGTTTTTTGGGTTTTTTTGGTACTGGGGATCGAACTCGGGTCCTTGTGCTTGTGCAGCAGGAGGCGAAACCACTGAGCTAAATCCCCGGCAAAGGGAGAATATTTTGAGGGGAACTGACGGCGATGTGTCTTTTACTGTAATAAATTTTAAAATTTAAATATTCATCGTACACTTGGATCAGACCTTGTATCCCTGTTCCAGAAGTCACAAGGCCAATTATACTAATTTTCCTAAAATCTTCAAGTTCATATATACTTCCCTTTCTGTGTAAAAAGTTCTCTTTTCTGCTCACATCAGTGCCCTCAACTGTGTACATAAATGGATGCCACTTTCAGCTGCACTAAAACTGTGTGCATGATGTTTATAGCCAGACACTGGGTGTGAGCGGGCAGGTGGAGGATGGCTGCAATGGAGTCCCAGGGATGCAGCTCTCTTCCAGTTCCTGGGCTATGTCTGATATGGTATTAAAACAGAGGTTCTACAGAACTCGAGTCTCAGTAGCCTTTAGAGATCAAGCAATAATAGTAAATAATAATAATCAGAGCAATAAAAGCACTTAAACATCGAATGCTTACTATGCACAAGGGCAGTTCTGAGCATGTGCCATATTTTGTAGCGCTTGATTACCACAAAACCTATGAGGTAGGAATTATGATTATCCCCATCCAACAGATGAAGGAACAGAGGCTTCTAGAAGTTAATAAGGGATGGAGGCAAGATCTGTCTGACTCTAAAACTTATTCTATAAAGCAAGGCTCAGCAAACTACAGCTCATCAAATCTGCACTCACTACTTGTTCTTACAGACATCTGCTTGGAACACAGCCATGCTTACTCGTTTACACACTGTTTGTGGCTGCTGTTTTGCTAAGACAGCAATGTTGGGAAGTTATAGCAGACACCCTGTAGTCTACCATCTGGCCCTTTATAGAACCTTTGCTAATCCTTGCTCTGATGAAACTTTATTCCATTTACACATATTTCCTTCCTACATTTCAACAGGGGATCAATTTTTGAATTAAAAAAATTTTTATCACCATGTATACATACTATACTTTGGATAATTTGTACTTTGTAGCTCAAAAAGATAGATTGGGATGAGACTCATTACATAATCCATGTGAAATAATTCCCGATCCATGATTATAAACTGAGAAGTAGAAATAAGAAAAAAAATTAACCAAGTTTGATCCCTGGTACCAAAAAAAAGAAAAAAAATTAAATCTGTCCATGGAATCTTTAGTGACTAAATGAACATGACACTATCAGCTAATTCAGGAAGTGTTAAGACATTCTATAGTGTAGTATTTGAATTTTATTTTTAAAAAACGATATCTACTTAGCAATTATGAAAACGTGGAATTGTAAGGAAAAAATAAGTAAACTAGTTGGTAAAAAGAGTCTTTAAAACAAGAATGATAATAAATCTTTCTTAGAAAAAAATATTTATACACTTATACAAACTTACCTGACACAACCAGAAATAGCAACAAACCAACAACACCGAAAGAGGATGGATGGAAATGAATGCTGGCAACAAGGACTAGGTTATACAACATTTTTTACTTTGCCCATCTCTAAGGCTTAAAGGAAGGACTTTTAAAACTTACTCCTCCAATTAGCATATTTCAGGACACCAAAATTATGGTCAATAAGTAATATATAAGCACACTGGGGTGGTTTTTAGAAAACTGCCTTTCTTTTTCTGAAGAATTTCATATAAATGTATGGGTAGAATTGTTCCATGGGGAGAAAAGTTACTGTTTTAAATAATCTAGCCAAGAGCCCTAAGGTGATACTTTACAGGACAAAGTTCTTGTTATTTCTAAATAGTTTATCTCTATTGCATACTTTATTCCTAACCAATAAAGAAACAAAATCTCTTTTCCAGTATTTCTCCTGCCTACTAGGTTTACAGTCCATTCTGATGGGCATGAATTAAAAGATTCAAGGCTGGTCAAAGTCTTTCCTTCTAGAGGAGGAAAGATTCATGCCATTTTCAGCAAAATGTGACCTGTCACCTGCTCCCTTCATAATGCTATCCTGGTGCCTGGATCTCCCAACTTCAAGAACGTAAGAAGAGAATCCACATGTTGTAATAAATGGCACCAAGTTGGACCATGTCCATTGCTATTACCATGCCCATGATTTGAGCTGGTCCAGTAAAGGGTATCTGGTGATCCTTAAGATACCAGTATTTCAGTTCTGGTCTACTGTGAATGTTACCACATCACTAGCAGAGTAAATAGAGAAGAGTGTGTGAAGGGCTACTTCTGCCATTCGTAAATGCTCTTTCTATAATTAGGAAGAAATTCCAGTAATTTTTCAGCCTACAGTTGAGCAACCTTGTTAAGTAGTATCCCAGAGAATGCATGGCTACTCTGATGATACAGATCACGTGCAGAGCCACCTAAATAAAGGCAGCAGACTTACCGGGCAAATGGCACTCAGCACCTTTATTTGTACACTGAATATTTTTAAGACAAACCACTATATGAACTGCAGCTGTTCATTTAAGGTGGTGCTGGTCCAGATTAAATGTTTTGACTCTTAATGCTCCTTGCTCCCAAATATTTACTTAAACTTCAATCTGAATTATTAACCCATTTTATAAGAAAAAACAGGTAATATCCTAAATATCTTCTTTTAGAAAACTGAGCTGAAGCCCCCTATATCATTCTAAATAAATGGAGGAAAAAATTTAATGGCTATCATTCTTATTATCTTTTAAAAGTGTTATAGCTGGGGCCGGGGATTTAGCTCAGTGGTTCAGCCACCTGCCCCAAAAGCGCAAGGATCTGAGATCAATCCCCGGTACCAAAAAAAAAAAAAAAGAAAAGAAAAGTGTTATAGCTGTGGATAACTCCTAATTGTATACATGGATTTGTCTGGTGAAGAATAAATTCATTGTAACAAAGAAAACACTCATATAAAAGAATGTTTGCCAATAAATAGTTTGAAGGTTTTTTTAAAGGTCTGTAATTTTAATATTACTTTTACAAATGGAGAAGCAATGGAAGTTTTGGACTATTGCCTTGAGAATAGAACAGAAGCACCCCAGTGTTGTTTTATGCCCCACATTGTTCCAGACAGGAGAAGGTTCTATATTGCACAAGAGAAACACAGGACACAAACACATCCAAACCACACCACAAATTTTACCAGCACAGGAAACACAGTCAACGTGACAAAACATGGAGGGGTTGGGTACCAAGCATCGCCTTGCACACCAGGCACCAAACAAAACACTCTGAAACTCAGAAGGATGCTTACTCTATTCCCCACCCTGTGCCTCCAAAAATCACCCCCAGGGCCAGAATGGTGCCGGCCACAGCCCCTATGAGCCTGCTTGTAGCCATGTTCACTGTGTGGAGGGAAAATGGAGATTTTTTTTAACAGAGGAAAACAACACACTGATTTCACTGACATACAAAATACCCTCAGTAGGAAATGCTTTGAAAGTAAGTTAAATACAGAAATCTGTTTTCCAATCTTGAAATTAAGACTGGCAGATACTTTAAAGATATTTGAGGATAAATTTAAATTTACCTTCAAACTCCACATAGCCTAAAACATAAACTCTT